GTGATTTCTTGTTATTGGTTGTGTGTTGGAATCCTATTACGTTTGTTTGATTTGTTGGTTCATTTGTATGCATGTTTGGGTGCATGAATATCTGCATGTGTGCACTTTTGTCTTGTGCATATGTACGTGCAAAAAATTGAAGACGATTCCAAGTTTCTGTATAAAAAGTTCAAAAATTTAAGTATTTTTATGCCTCTGTGCTTTGGTGAATCTGTTTAGTATTGCATGTTTAATAATATTTTTGTAACCCTTGAACTCTTATAACTACCCAAACCGTGTTATAACTTCAAAGATCTCTCTATTTCAAACACCAGTGTTGTAGCCTCCAACGATCGTCAAGTGTTCGTTATTCCGTAGGTTTCCGATAGATGAGCACAACTAATAACAATATAATATTAGCAGTCTATTAATATTTTATATTAATTTTTAAACAGCGCGAATGTGTGCTTGTGTGTGTAAAACATGTTATTAATCATCTGTAAGTTTATTTGGGATCGGATAAAGATGTCATGTTGAATGTTTTGGAAAGTTGTGGAGTGTCGGGATGTTGAGGGATATTGTTGAATGTTGAGGGATGTTGGAGTGTTGTGGAATGTTGTGCGATGTTAGAGTGTTGTGGGATGTTGGGACGTTGTCTGATGTTGTGGAATGTTGTGGGGTGTTGTTGAATGTTGTGAAATGTTGTAAGATGTTACGAAATGTTGGGACGTTGTGTGATGTTGTGGAATGTTGGAATGCTGCGGGACGTAGTGTAGTTATTCCATGAATGTTTTCGCAAATGTAATTGATCTGCTGAGTTTTATATCTGTTGTTTGGTTTGTTTGTTTATCAATAGGGCACTTATTAGTAGTTAATTGCTTGTAAACTGTCGTAAATTAAGCATGCCATGTTTGGGACGATGATGTAAAATACCCTGTATTCATTTTTCTGAAAGAGATGTTTTCCCACAAACGATGCGAAAATACGTTAGCATGGAGACGTGCTAACATGTTGCCACAGCCTAACGTTGTCATGTTTCATGTTTTTTTATGATGACTTTTTTAGTAAACAAATTAAATTCATCAAAACGTCTTTCATTGGAGGATGAAGTTATACGTAATGCCATGACCATAGAAGTTAAAACTTGTTCCTCTATTTACATTGTATTTAAAGTTCGGAGCCATCACAGTGAGGGCAAATGAGCATTCGTTATGGCCAAAGAATTGTGAGGGCCGTTCTTGTGTGTCTGTAGTCAGTCATAATAGCTTGATGTGATGACGTTTTAACATTGTTGTCGTGATTTAATGTCTCGATGCCTGAGTGTTGATGTTGTTGTTTGATGTGTTGATGTTGTCTGAATGTTTTTTATTGTTGTCTAGTGTGTTAATGCTGTTTAAATATTGATGTTGTTGATTAATGTGTTGATGTTGTCTAAATGTTGATGTTATTTAGTGTGTCGATGTTGTTGTTTAATGTGTTTGACAGTATTCTTATTGTAATAACACTCATCATCACCACCACCACCAGGTAGTCATCACTATTATCATTACTCTCATCATCTTTACCGTTCTTTTAAAACCATTCATCATTGTTAACCCGGGCAACATCACTTTGGTCATTTTTATTGTTTGTTCGTTCGTTCGTTCATTCGTTCGTTTGTTTGTTTGTTTGTTCGTTTGTTTATTTGTTTGTTTATTTGTTTGCTTATTTTTTTTGGTTGGTTTCATATTTGCTGGCTAACTTGGTGGAGGTTGTTACGGCAGCTATTGTTATTGTTGTTGAGGTTGTTGTTGAATTTGTTATTGTTGTTAATGTTGTTGTTGTTATGACATGGGGTTGCTATTGCAATCGAAATTATTGTTATGATGTTGTTAATGTTTTGTTGTTAGTGTTTCGTTGTTTCTGCTGCAGTATTCTAATTTTAACTGTTCTTAATTTGTTTCGTTTTTGCAATGATATCATGTTATCTAGTCTAATTTTTGATTTTTGTTGTTTTTCAGGGTAAACAAATATGTAAACATTTGTGAGCGTTGAATAAATGTAAACTAACAACAAGCAATGTAAACAACAACATTCGTGACGACCTCATCAATGTTTTAATTACCATCTTTCTCGTTGTAATCACCTTCACTATCATCTCATAATCACCGCCATCACACTCGTCCTGAAGACAATTCATTCTTTCAATTATATTCTGAATATAGTTTCGACATGGCAATTTTTATTGAATAAATTGTTTTTTAATTAAAATGGTTTGTTCGGAAATTTATTCAAAAATGTTCATCCACATTTGAAGCACACAACAGCAGCAACAAACAGCCACATTTTAGGAACCACACATCAACAAACACCCACCTTGTTTCAACCACACAACAGCTTCAACACTGAATGTTGACCACTGCAACAAAACTCTTCAACTCAATGACGTCATGAAGAAAAACAACAACAAAAACAACAACAACGTCTTTCACATCAACAACGAAGATATAGACAGCAACATTAATGACAACAGCGTTAACAACATCAAGAGTGTCGGCAACATTGTTGAAAGTGTTGACGTCGGCAACAACACATCAGCAACGATGGTTTACCTACCAAAACTCCAAAACATTCTTTTAGCCAGGACAAAGAATCAACGCCAACAACACCAGATTCAACAGCAACAACACCAGCTTCAACAACAACAACATTTGCTACAACATCAACCCAACAAACATTCGTCAATGAAACAGTACACGACACATGATTGGTTGTTCGTGTGTCACATGACCATCAAAGCTGGCGTTGGACAACAAATTGAAGTTGCTTTGTTGACATTTAACTTGACATCTTCTACAAACAGCAGCACCAACAACAACATCAACATCAACAACAACATCAACAATAATATTAACAACAACATGGTTGCTGGAGGAACGGCATCCCAAAACAACGAAACAACAAAAATAAAACCATCCAAGTTACTGAAGAGGACAAATGCAACAACGACCAGCTCCGATAAACCGTGCGTCCTCCACATTTACATACACGATGTTTCAACAAGTGGGTTGAATCACGTGACTAATTTTTCCACCTGTCAACATGCATGGAGACATAGAAGCTTGTTGACAAGCGATCATTCATCCATCCACCTCTCCATCCACGTCAACGGCAGCAGAGTGATCCCTCCCATTTTCTCTCCCTCTTCATCCCCAACGGCACATCCACTCGATGGCAACTCCCTCAGGTCACCCCCCATTACTCACTCTCTTGCGATGCAACAACAACTACAACAACTAAATTATGCTCTACTTTTCAAAGGTTAGGTGTCTGTTTGATTAGTAAATATCAAATATGCTTTTATTTGTTGTTGATGTTGTATCATATTATTGTTACTATTCGCTGTTCATTTTATAACTGAAATAATACAAGATATGTTGGATTTGTTAATGAATATTTAGTGCATGACAAAGTTGTCAACGTTTTTAAAACTCCAAGCCCTAATACAACACACTTTCACTCGCTCACTCACTAATCAATTAGCTGCTCAATCATCAACTATTTCAGTCACTTACCTATGCAAATTAACTAACATACTCACTCACTCACTAACTTACTCACTCGTTCACTCATTTATTCAATTATTCATTCATTTATTTATTTACAATTTAATTTATTTATCTACTCATTTTCGGCACAGTTAATCTGGTTGGTGCATGATCACCAAAAGTTCACTAACAGTAACACAAGCCGTTCATACGATTCGCTTGTAAATATCTTTTGAAGATGGCATTCACTTTTTTCCTTGAATGCACTTTTAAAACACGATTCTATCAAACAACACGTCGAAATAAAATTTATTATGTTGGTTATTAACTTAATTAAACTTGTTAAAATATCGTCGGCGTTAATTGAGCATCAATACAAGTGTCAAATTTGATTTTATGATTGTAAAACATTTAAAAAGTGACTTTAATTCAGTTTGATTACAAATATTGACTTTGATCCTGGTTGTAAAATAGTTTTTGAAGCATGACTTAAGTTTTCATTTTTAATTACAGTGGATTCATCTTAAAATAGTGACTTACATTGGAGGAGGAAGATATTTTACCAAGTTTCAGCTTCTTGAATAATTTCATCAGAGAATCTCCATTCCTATATTTGTCGAGCCGAGCACCAATTTTACGAGACTACACAATGTTTGAAGTGGCTCATAAAAAAGAAAAAAAAGTTATACTCATTACAAAGGCACTATAAAATAATTAGTCATTAGAAACAAAACAGCATTAACAAAGACTAAGTTAATTTTTTGACTGTTATAAAGTTGAAACGGCAATAAAATAATAAAAAACTTGATATGGCATTTTAACAAAGATGTTTCTTTGTTGTTGTAGGTACTTTGAGTAAGTTGTTTTGTTGTTATATTAATGAGATCCATTTGCTTGCAATTCGAACATTATATATAGCTTCACATAGTAGCAGTGAAGAGTGTAATTTACGTAACAAATCTTTTTAAAGCTTGATTAGAATAAATTTTCAAATGGCTGAACAACAAAAAGGGATACCGTTTTCTAACGGACATCACGATGAAAAAAGGCCGGTGGCCATGGTCAAACCAACTATCTTCGAATGCAATGAAGCAGGACTAAACCGGCCGGTGGCCATTGTGGAACCAACGATCTTCGAATACAATGAAGCAGAGAATATTGACGATGGCGATAACTTTGAAGATGTAATAGGTGCATATTATTTTATTCAGCCTGTAAATGAAAATAATCAGCAGTTGAATGATGATACAGTTAGAGGTGATGATGTTCTTATCGTAAATGATGACAATGACGAGGTTGTGCTAAACGCACACGATGATGACGATGTTCAAGAAAATGATAATGGTAATGAAGATGGTGATATTTTGAATGAGGAGGATGTGAGAGTCTTGGTGGTTATTTGCGATGATGATGCAGAGCATGATGATGATAGTGAGGATGTTGACCTGAATGTGGACGAAGATGGAGATGAGGTCGTCTGCGACAACGACGAGTATGTAAATGAAGATGGCGATGAACATGAGGAGGAAGATGATGATGACGGTGAGGAGTTTTGCGAAGTAAACGATGATGACGAGGAGGAAGAAAATTATGAAGATGACGATGAACTCCATAATGGAGGCAGTGGGCGCAAAAGAAAAAGAATCAATCAATCAGACCGACCCATAAAAATATGCAAACCTTTTTAAAACTGATACAATTATTTATTAATTTTACAAAAGTAGTTTTATTGCTTAATGAAAATTAAATTAGTTATAATGTAATGTGAATTAAATAAACTTAACCAAAGTTCCAATAATTTTATTTAGTTGTCTCAGTTGTTTATTTAGACTTATAATCCAAAATTATCAAAAAATTCCATTATCCCAGCTTATGTTTGTGCGTCCCTAAGGTTTTCTAAATGCGCCACGTATCTGTTTTGATTTATTCATAAATAAATCAGACTTTCATAGACGAAGAATCTTATACAACATGCAAAATGACAAATAAAAGTTTAATAAACTAAAAACAAAACAAACGCATTAACGTACAGTATTGAAAATTAGTTACACATCTAATATCCTAAGTAATTGGATTTATTCATTTTACTCACACAGAAAAAGAAATGAATTATGTGTAACTATGTGTAAAATGAAAATAGTTTAAATGTATTTTCCTATTGAATCCGCTTAAAATTAACGGACTTATAGATAAAATCACATTGTTTGTAAATATCCTGTTGATAATTTAATAAATTTCAATTTTGAACAAAGAAATAAAAAAATTAGCGTTTATATTAGCGGTTACTAATTTAATATTATTCAGCCAAACCACTCGCGCACATGAAGAAAACCACAACATCAACATCACCTTTAACATCAACGACATTGAATGTACTTTGAAGAGCAGACGATAACAGCAGAATTAAACACACTCAGACATTTGTGAATACTTCGAATAATAACTCAGATGTTCTATCATACGTCAATCCTGGTGACGATCGAATCAACAAAAGGCTACCTAGTACACAATCTTCAAGAAAATGAGCAGGAAGAGTAGACCTTGAATCTGAAGACGCAACAACCGAAACCAGCAATGACATCGTTTAAGTGTCCAGATCGCGAAAAAATAAACACAAAAATAAGTGGATCAAACACCATCCCCAAAAAACGCCGTCACTAATGATCATTCGTAGGCATCACAAGCAAACAAAACAATTCTGCAATTGACTACAAAACCTCCTAAAATAAAATAGGAAGAAAATCAATCCAGAAAATTCAAAAATTAAGCATCAAAGTTACAATAAAAAAATCAAACTTCTACATCAGCAACTTCCGCAGTTAATGTACAGTTGATGACATTAAAATTCATCTGCAGACAAACAAGATAAATGCAGTCACGTGCTTGGGGGTTACCAACTAAAATCATCTCAACAAAATTAAGGGATGCCATCTCAAAAGCATTTTGAGTTTGTATAGACAATCGCGATGCAGAACTCATGCTAAACCTAAGTAGGTGGCCGTGCAATATATTGGTGCATAAATGGATTTTCATGGAAATACCCTTACAAACTTAAATATGGAAGAAATCATATCAATCAATTAAAATCAATTTTCTATTAATTAATTTATTTATATATTGAATTATGGGCTCAGAACATACATTTTCCTATACCCTACCAACATCTAACAATCAATCACCAAAAGAAGTGTGCTTGATTTATTACTCTGCATAAATAGCAAAAACATGTTAAATCAAATTTCTAATAATTAATTTATTTATTTATGGAATTGAAAGCGCATAACATACATTTTCCTTAACACGCCTCTAACATAAAACCTTGGAAGTTCAAGTGTGAATAACAAAGAAAAACGAAAAAAATATATAAAAAATAATGAAAATAAACAAACAAATAAAATAATATTCAGCTTCTTGAATAGTTTCATCAGAGATTCTCCATTCCTATATTTGTCGAGCCGAGCACCAATTTTACGAGACTACACAATGTTTGAAATGGCTCATAAAAAGAAAAAAAAAGTTATACTCATTACAAAGGCACTATAAAATAATTAGTCATTAGAAACAAAACAGAGTTAAATACACTCAGACATTTGTGGATATTTCGAAAAATAACTCAGATGTTCTATCATATGTCAATCCTGGTGACGATCAAATTAACAAAAGACTAACTAGTACACATACACAATCTTCAAGAAAATGGGCAGGAAGATTAGACCTTGAATCTGAAGACGCAACAACCGAAACCAGCAATGACATCGTTTAAGTGTTCAAATCGCGAAAAAATAAGCACAAAAAATAGTAGATCAAACTGTTTAAGATAAAAAACTTCTTTGTTTGTTTTTAATATCATTGTTTATTAAAGAAACGTTAATTGAAACGTTAGAAGACACGTTAGTCAACAAAAAGCGAAAAGCATACACGTGCAAGTTAGTCAAGTTAGAAATAACAAAAGATTGTCTGAAACTATGGAAAGTCATAAATATATTGAAACATATATAATATACATTATATATTATTTCAATACTTTCCCTTGTTTAAAAACATTTTATGACATTAGTCCCATATGTCCACACAGGAGTTTCAGTCTGACTCTGTCCAGTGGCTTTGTCATCACATCAGCGACTTGATCACTTATTGAAATTTGTGTGATATCAATCGTTCCATCTTGAATTTTTTCTCTAATAAAAAAGTTCTTCAAGTCAATGTGTTTTGTTCGCCGATGAAATTGTGGGTCCTGAGCTATTTTGACTGCAGCACTGTTATCAACTTGCAAGATTGGCACATCTTTCAAATCAACCTGTAATGATTTGAATAATCTTTGAAGCCAAATTATTTCTTTGACAGCCTCTGTCACAGCGATGATCTCAGCCTCTGTTGTAGATGTTGCAACTATGGCCTGTCGTTGACTAATCCATGATATTATGCCTCCTGCATATATCACTGCAATACCTGTGGTCGAACGTCCAGTCTTTCTACAGCCTCCAAAATCTGAATAACTGAAACACTGTAAAACTCCTTTTGTACTGTCTGATCTGTACACAATGCTCTGATCGATTGTTCCTGCTAAGTATCTAAGCACTCGTTTTGCTTTTATTATATCTCCTGGTGTTGGGTTCTCGAGGGAGCGTGATAAATAGCTAATGCTGTACGCAATGTCTGGCCTTGTATCTACCTACACTTCCGTCTGGCAAGGTTTTTATTTTGTAAACCCATTTACATGGAATAACTTTAGCTCCTCTGGGTAGCTCACAAAGTTCCCAAGCTCTATTTTTGTTTAATGAATTAATTTCATTATTCATGGCATCATTCCAATATTTACTTTCCCTGCTTTGAATGGCTTCTTCGTATGTATCTGGTTCATGTACATCTAATAAATATGTCTCAGCCTTCATCACATAATCATCTAACTTCTTAGGTTTCTGCAAGCTTGACCTATCTCTGAGTTGAACTTTAACTGAATTATCTATAATCTTCTCAGTGTCATCTGTAATTTCTTCTTTTGAATCCTCATTTCTACTACTCAAGTCATTTTCTGATTTGCAATTGATTTGAAGATCTGTTGTAAAATCTTTTTGAGTCTGATGTTCAAATGATGTTGTACATTTCATAGGTTTTTCTTGGAAAACTACATCTCTTGAGAATATCATTTTATATTGATTTTTGAGCCATATACGATAGCGTTCGTCACCATCGTAACCAACAAGGTAACCTTTTATGGCTTTCTTATCCATTTTTTGACGTTTTTGATCAGGTATGTGAACAAAACATGTAGAGCCAATTATTCTCAAATGGTTAATTCTCGGCTTTTTACCTGTCCAAATTTCAAATGGGCTTTTATCTTCAATCGACGACTTGGCTGTTCGATTAAGTAAATATACTGCAGTTGAACATAACTCAGCCCACATAGCGACTGGAAATTCAAAATCTGGATTTGAGTACTTCAATGTGCGTGCCATTTCTACTATTGTTCTGTTTTCACATTCACTATCACCATTTTGTTGACGTGTATATGGTGCTGTTAGTCTTTGCGTGATTTCATGGCTGCGCAGGATGTTTCGAACTTCTTTGTTGTCAAACTCACCCCCATTGTCACTCAAAAATTCTTTTACTTTATGACCTTGAGTCGCTGCTTGAGACAAAATATTTTGTAGTGCCTGTTTCACTTCATTTTTGTGTCTAAGAAAAGAAATGAACCTCATTTTGCTGTAATGATCATTGAAAACAACAAAATATCGTTTACTATTAAATGATTCTGTACTGAAAGGACCACAAACATCTGCTGATAGTAGTTCACCTGATTTATTGGTTGCATTTCTCTTGCCAAATTTTAACCGATGTGCTTTACCATAGAGACATGGTTCACACAAATCCTTGTCAAGATGAACTTTAATGTTTAACTCCTTTTCTATAACATTCTTTATGTGGCGTTTATCTTGATGACCAAAACGTTCATGGTAGAGCTGCACTATTGAATTTTCACTGACTATATTCACTTCAGCCGGTGTATCTGGAGTTAATGAAATCAAGTTTGCCTCATACAAAGAACCATCTACTCGTCTTGTCCCTTGTACTACCACTCGGTTCTTTATAGTGAGTTGACATTTGGTTGCATAAGATTCAAACTTGCCGTTTTTTGAATTTTTATCTTGTGCGGCTAATATGGAAAACAGGTTTCTACCTATATTTGGAATATACCAGACATCTGAGAGTTTTATATACTGTTGTTTGTTATTTACTGTTGACAGCATATTTATTGCTCCTCTACCCACAGCAGCAAGAACTTCTTTTCCTGCAGCTTGAACAGAACATGGTGCGACAAACTTCTCAAAAGTAACAAAATTATCTGGATTATTCGTTAGGTTCTTTGTTGCTCCATTGTCAATATACCACTTAGTGTTGTCTCTCAGTGTTTGATTACTGGCTGACGTGCACAAAACTACATTTGATGTTTTATCATATGCTTTTCTTGGTGTCGCTGAAGCATTTTTGGAATTTTTAGAAGGTCTTCCATCATTGACCCACTTTCTACATTGCTTAACCCAGTGTCCAGGTTTATGGCAATAGTTGCAATTACCAACTGGTTTTGTCCTTTTAGTGAAATCTCTTGATTTGTTGAAACTTGGCTTTCCAACATTTACAACTAAGGCGTTCTGCCTTGATGATTTATCGATTGTGTCGAAAGTCTTTA